TGTGTGTTACTGTGTGTTACTGTGTGTGTGTGTTACTGTGTGTGTGTTACTGTGTGTTACTGTGTGTTACTGTGTGTGTGTTACTGTGTGTGTGTCTGTGTTGGTCTGACCTCCCAGTAATGGCGTCCAGAGCTGAATCCTTCCTTGGCGTTGACGCAGGACCAGACATCAAACCTGTGAGGACTGTTTCTGTAGAACTGCAGCTTTTCTCCTCGCTTCACCTGCTTCCTGTCCTCAGACAGGATGAGGAACGGATACGCCGTCACAGGGTTCAACGTCACGTCCTCTGAAACCACAAGTTAACAAAACACACCAACAGTTTTTAACTGGGCACTAGAGGACACCGTGTGTCCACCCAGCTGTGATTGATATGAATCAGCGCCTGTGCAGCCGTGATCGTGGAGATGTGGTGTCGAGGCCCCACCCACACACACTCTGGACCAACCATGAATCAGTCTCAACTGTCAATCATGAGGTCTCAGAAACCATCTTTGAAAAACGTATTTAACGTCTACTTATGCAGATTGCTGCAGATTTGATCTAAACCAAGTTGGAAATGCGACAGACGGCATCGAGCTCAAACAGAGTGAAGCTGCTGATTGGGTAGAAATTTAAATTACATTAAAAACTAACCTAAATCAAGCTAACAGACAATTAGCTTTTTCTGTATTTTGGGGGATGAAGGTGTTCGGAAGCCTGCAACTGCTGCAGAGACGGGGAAATCAAAGTGACAGGCGTCCATCATTTGTCTCCTCTCAGCAACCAGTGAAGACAGATGTCGTCCACATTGACTCTGGTTCTTTCTTCCAGTTTCCAACTGGTTTATTGTGAGAACTGTTGGTTTCTCTATAATATCCAAATGTCAAGAGCCTTGAGAAAATGTATATGATGATTTTATGCTCTACAAATGAAATAGAAAATTTTACCTGAGGACTTTTTTTAGATAAATGCTAGTGTTAGCATGTTAGCACGCTTCAGTTAGCATTCTGCTCAAGCTGCAGGTAGATTTCTCTTAATTTTTAATGTGAATAGTAACATGCTTTTATCTTGTTGTGCTAACATCTAATAAACAGCAACATGATCACAGTTTCATTAATAAATCTACATGATCAATAAAGTTTATAAAAACAGTTATAGCGATGAATGTAAACAAACAGCGTCTCTCAGAGAGTTGGCTAAAAAATAAAAATGTGTTGATGTTGTAAATGAAATACTCACCCATGTAAACTCGAGCCTTTTTATGTCCTGAGACGAAACAGAAAGACATTTTTAGAAAAACATTTGGATATTTTGTGATGGACAAGAAAAGCAAGTGGGACACAGACCTGAGACGGCTTTGATCTTCTTCTGATCTACAGAGGACAGGAAACCAAAGTGAGACCTTTCACAATAAAAGTACAGTAATGTGAGTGTTGTGGCTTGGAAATGACGCATCACCTCTCAGACTCCACTGACTCATCCTCAAACTGGCACTGCTTCCTCTCAGACTGAGCATACTCTCCGCCGCCTTCAGATCTGTGGACGAAACTGAAACACAAACTGCTTCATTAAAACACACTCATGGTTTCAATACTGAATTATTCAACCGTTTTTATTTCATTTGACCAAATCTTAGAAGTTATTGATGTGAGTTGATAAAAGGGACTTTTTTGATTCAACTCACAGGAGCCTCTGGAGCCTCGGGACTGGACCTCCCCCATCTGGATGTCGTCCATCTTATCCTTCACCTCTGTCAGAGAGCTCTTCACCTCCGCCAGATGGAAATGGAGGGAAAATTCAGATTCCTCGTCCACGTCAATCTGCTGATGGTCATTCAGAGGCACTGTGGCCTCCTCAAAACTCTGAGGAGGAGGAGAAGGAGGTGATGAAGACTTGGCTCAATCAGCTCAGACCACAGTTTTTTGTCTCAGCTTGAGAGACTTTCGTTTTTTTAGTCCCCTGATTACAGACGTGTGGCGTGTAAAAACTCAAGTAGAACAGCCAACTGGACCGAGCCTCATTTCAAAATGTTGGGACGAGTATCCACACCCTGAACTTCTCGAGATTCATAATAGATTCAACTATAATATGTTGAAATGGACACGTGGAGCTTCTTTCTTCTTCATCACATCAATGTCTCATCAAAACATGTTACTGATGTGACTTCTTCCTTCATCAGGATCGCTGCTGTGGCCACATCGTGGCTCTTGATGGTGGATCAGCTGCAGCTGATCGAGGACTATGATTACAACCAGACCGCTTGATAAACAATATGTGTACTATTAGGAAAACATGTGATATAATTGTTGAATATTGCTACAACGATAAATAAACAAACATAGTAAATGGTAGAAAAGTCTTTGTGCTTTGGTTTCACCACGAACAGACTTCGTACAGTTCCCACCTGCAGGAAGCCGATGTGATCCTGACTGATGGCCTGACCCTCCAGTGTGGCCCTCCTGTCCATCAACTGGCTGAGCTCTGCCTCCAGACGGCTCACCAGCCCCTCCCCCTTTGACATGACAGCATCCAGTTGGGTCTGGATCCCGCCCACCACCCGCGTCCGGATCCGGTCGAGGGAACTGGACACTTCATCCAGCAGGTGTTCAACTTCACCTCGTTCTCCGTCTGCGTAGTTCTGAGACAAATCGATTCAAATAATGATTATTAAAATCTAAATGGTTTGACTGAAATATATGGAACCAAAATGTTGCACTACGTCAAATCAAACTATTTCATCAAGTTGAATTAGTTTGTTGGACGTAGTAATATTAGCTAAGGTGCCCATGAGCCGGGCACCTCAGGCCCAGTTGGACAAACTGGGACCAAAAGAGTTTAATTTATTTTACTCAAACAAAAACATGTCGGACCTTCACTCCCTCCAGTTTCCTCTTCAGCTCCATCACGTGGATCTCTCGCTCTTTGATACGGTTCAGGATTTCCTGCTCCGTCCTCGCCACCTGTTTCTGAACACACAGGTGAACACGACAGAGTCCGTCTCAACCACTGAATGACGACGTGAGTAGATTCACATCCCGTCTGTCATTTACCTGTTTGCTGAGTCTCTCTGTCTGGACAGAGACAGTTTTGTGTGTTCGATGCTCCTCCAGGACACAAATGGCACAGATACAACACTGACATGTCCGACAGAACACCTGCACAGGTGAACACATCAGGAACAAGTTGATTTCATTAATTCATAGAAACATGATCAGTGTCCCTGAGTGGACCAATGTCAGCCCTGACAAGAACCAACCAAACTCTGCAGAGACCTTAAACCGTCTCTCCCAGGGGAGTCCGACCTCTGACCACCAGGGGACGACGTCAACGAAATAAAATGGGAAATAAGTCTGAACGCTGTGAAATTCACTTGGTTATAAATGTACCAGAGATAAATTGACCTCAATTAATGACAAAGCTGGTATGATAACAATCTGTGTTTCCACTCACCTCCAGCAGGCGGCGGTGTATAGAGCAAGTGCGGCCCTTGAGAGCATCCAGAGGGTCCATGAGTGGGTGTTTGGAGTAGAAGGGAGCGGTCTGATGTGGCCGCACATGCTCAGTGCAGTATGAGGCCGTGCAGGTGAGACAGGAGCTGACGGCAGGTTGTTTCACACCTGTACACACGTCACACCACACCACCTCCTCACCGGACACCGCCGCTGCGACTGTCAAAAAAGGGTTCGTGCCACCAGTCGTCACCCGTGTCTCGCTCCCTACCTGCGGTAACCCTGCGGCTCCGTAATGAGCCTCTTTGTAATTATCTGCGATGAGAGCAAAGACTTTGTTGACGCTGAGCTGAGGTCGTTCATTGAACTGATGTTTGCACAGCGGACACGTGCACACCGGACTAGACGCCCAGTAACCTCCAATACACGCCTGCAAACAAATAAGAGAAGAGTTTGAAGGTTTATCAAAGTCACGTGATCCCTAAACACTTGTGCCCCTGTGAACCTGGACCTGAACTCCCATAGAGGGCGAATTGTGTGATTATAATGAGTCACCAGTTTTTAAGCCTCAGCACTGGTGACACCCAGTGGTCGGAGGCGATATGTTTTTGGGTTATACGTCCATCTCGTTCTTGTGAACATAGTATCTTGAGAACCCTTTGAAGCGATTTCTTCAAAATGTTTACTTTGAACATTAACTTCATCACAGTAACCTCGCAGGAGAAAAAAAGAACTGTTCTGATTGGTGGAAACAAACTTAATGAACACATGAATCCGTTGTAACCGGGCATCAGGTGTTGTGTGTGTGGACGTTACCTGGCAGAAGTTGTGTCCACAGGGGGTAGTGACTGGCTCAATGAACAGGTCCAGACAAATGGAGCAGGTCAGCTCCTGCTCCGAGAACAGATCTGGAGCCGCCTCCGCCATCGACATCCTGCTGCTGGAAGATCAAAGGACACTTAATTTAAACGGTCAGAGGTTGGAAGGTCTGGAAATTCATCATGACATCACTTCCTGGAAGCTTCCTGAAATATTTTCAGACATGAACTGAACCACTGACATGTTCCACACATGTTCCAGTCAGTGTCTCTGGACATGTTCTGGATCTTCTCCTGCAGCCTCGAGTGAAACATCTGTAAGAGAGTGAGTCCATGAGAGAAAACATCTGGAACCTTCTCAGTGAGCGAGTGGGCGTGTCTCTAACACGTGACGGACGTGAAACTGAAGAACACAAATGTCTCAGGATGAAGAAGAGGAGCCGTACACG